TGCACATCAGTCACGTTATTTTCACGTAATAACATTCATTTAGGATGCATAGATTCGCTCATTCTTAAAATAAAATGAGTTTGTTCATCAAACAAAGAGAATATTAAGATGATTTCGAACTAGGCTTCACAAAACAGAAGCGAATAGAGTTTAAATATTATAAAAATATTTAACACAATTGACGTATTTATGCAAGTCTTCTTATAAAAACATCTGTATTACACAATTGAAAACATGTATGCAATTTATGAAAGTTTACTTCCTCGGAAAAAAACATACTTTCATCTTCTCATGCTCGAGTGTCGATTGTAAATAATCTATTATTATGGTTTCCAAGTATAGGCCAAAATTGGCAAAAATAATTCGTAATCGGAGAAAAGGCACCTGAGCTTTGTGCGAGCTTTCTCAGTTATTGATTTATCATTCTCTCTTTAAAATGTGTATTAACTTGAGATAAAAAGTATTCATTTGTACAATTTTCAACTTCAATGTGAATAGGTTTTGACAGTGTGGGATATAAAAGGAGGAAAAGACGAGATTTTACTATTTAAACAATTGTTTAACGAAATATTTAATGGAAGTAAATTCAGGCAGATAGGATTAATATTTTCAAAGCTAAAAGGGTTTTATGCTTAAAAAATATAATTTTGGCACTTGATCTATAAAAGGAGTCTAGCATTACTATTTAGTTATTGTTTATAGAAGTGATCTATGCATTTCCTTTTACCTTCCCACTATCAGTTTTATCTACTTAGTTTTGTTTTCATTCAATTCAGAGTGAAACAATTCATTAATAAAAAATGTCCGAAATTGTACTTTATTTGTAAAAACATTATGATTTCGAAACTAGTAGTCGTACCGTCTAGGGGTTAGTTTCCTCATTCGATTCAGGGAAAAAAAATAGGGTCAGGTGGGGTAAAGTGGGTACATGTTGTAAAGTGATTTTATGTTTAAATTAACGCATATATTTTCTCCTTTTAATATTTTTTAAAGACATTTACTGAGATTGTGACAAGTATTTTTATTCCAGTTTTAAAAACTGATAAAAAAATTTAATGTTTACAAACTATCTGTTCATGATGAACCTATAAAGTATGTTTGTTAAAACTATTGATGAACTTTCTTCGAATACCATTAAAAATTGGCAAAAACTATTCATTTTGGTTCAAACTGGTAGAGGGACATCTGAAGAACAGATCTACATCGAAATTTAAGAATAAATTTCAAAGTTCTAATTTATTATGAATTGTTTTCTGAGGTGGGGTAAAGTGGGAATAGGGTTAGGTTTAACAAAGTCTTGTATGATAGGGATATTGTTTCAAATTTGGTAAGTATCTAAAGCTCAGTGTTTTATAATGAAATAGTTAAAAAATAATTTATTCGTTTGAGTACAGACCTACATAGTCGTTTTAGCACTAAAAATAAAATTTCTTTTAAATTTTATTTTTTTACAGAGAAGAATGATGGGGGGGGGGTTAACAACATATAACAGGCAGATTATATAATTAGAATTACCAAAATAGCATATTGGCTCACTCTGGGGTAAAGTGAGTAGATCAAAAAATGCTCCTTCGAAATCATTATTGTAAGAAAACAATCAAACAAAATAGATAAATTATGCTTCATATTTGATCTATATAAATCTAATGTGTATAAAATGCATCAAAATGTTCAGTAAAATTAATTTAACGGTTTTAGAGCCTTCTTTGAAAACGCTTCATTTTATACCCACTTTACCTCACCTGCCCCTAAGTAGGAAACAATTGCTTATTTGTTTAGAGGGCAGTTAGTAAATTATTTTCAATCATATGACTCGTTCCCCATATACACAATTTTAGTGGGCTTCTAGACAAACAGTATATTTTTATACCATATTCTTTTATTCATAGTATTAGATTAATTTCTTTAAGTCATCTAATTTGGATGAGGTAATTTGATTCCGCATTTTTGTATTCAATCACGGAAATTGAAGCGATGCATTTCACAGGCAATTTTAAACCAAATTAAAATTTTTAATTCAACTTAATTTACATCTTCTATTGTATTTCCTTTTTTAACATTTTAAGTCTGAGTGAAACTTTTTTCTAAAATTTAACATTTGAACGGGGAAAAAATGATCCGTTTATAACATACATTCTTATTTGTATTGAAGTGCTAATAAAAAAATACCTTGAAAAGAACTCGACTTTGTGTGTATCTATTCAGTATAAATTCTGAATATTTTTATCAGACCGAATATTTAAGCTCTCTTTATTTTTACGAAGCCATCAAATTTCGAAATATATTTCAAAAATCCCATAATGCACTTTCTTTAAAATCCTTATATAAAACCAGCGTGAATTCTTTTAAACAGAAAAATAATGTTAAAATTTTCAAGGGTCCCCTATTAAAAAGAAAACACAACTAAAAATTTAAATCGAAATTTGAGTGACTGCTTGCCCATGAGCACGCATAAAATAAGGAACTCAAAAAAATCTTTTTTAAACTGTTAAAAAAAAATCTATTTACGAATTCGTCATTTTAAAAAATGGCGACATACCTCTTCGTCCGGATTATAGCGGGGAAAAATATTATTTTTAAGTTCCCCTATTTCCTTATTCTAGATTTATTTTTCTTCTTCTTTTTATAAAGACATTGATTTTTGTCGACAGACCTTCGTTAAAACCAACCAGACAAACAAAAAAGCTTAGACAGCTTATTTGTCGAAATGTGATTGGCAAATGCATTTTCGGAGATAAAATGGGTATTTTATCATGCTTGTGTCCATGTTATCATATTTTTGAAATTGACTGATGACATAAAAAGCTTTTAGTCAATTCAAAGAATAAACAACGTTCTTGATGGACTGTCTGACTTACATTTCTTTTCCACTCACTGTCGATGAACTGAACAGCTAATCGAAATTATAGTGAATTTGAGGGAATTCTTCTTATAGACATCTCTTTTAGCAAATAATCACAAGTAAATCATTCTATAAAATCACCTTTATTGAACGCAGCTAACAAAGTAACGCAACTTTCAAAAAGCGGAATTGAGAATCTTAGTATCCTAAAAGACTAAACTTGGTTTCTGCGTTTTCTGCAATCAGGAGGTCGATATACAATGTCTGACCTCCAAATTGTTGCATTTTAAAGATATGTTTGGTTGAAATTTGAAATAATTAAAATATCAATTTGATTTTTTTGGGAATCTTACATATATTTTTTTACATAAATAGTTTTTTAGGAATCTTAATTTGATCTTACCAAATATAATTCATTGTAATCGGAGCCGTACTTTGCGCTCGATATCCAAGGTGCAAACAATTTAAATTCTTCACTCACCTAATTTAAATGAAGTAGAGATGTGCAGAAACTTTTTATTTTTATTTTAATTACCATTTATTAAATAAATAAATGAGAGTCGGTGAGGGGCAAGACAACATATAGCTCGACCAAAAATAAGTATATATTTTTTTCTTAATTTTTCATTCTGACACCAATTTAGTTGAAATCATTGAACAATACATTTTGAATCATTTTTTTTTGCCAGCTATTTTTGTATTTATGTGACAAAAAAGCTATTTTACAACACTAAGAGTTAACAATTGATGTTTATCTTCAATGTCAGTTTTCAATAAGTGCAGAAATAATTACTTTTGCTATTTTGAAGATCCAAGTATACATATTTTTCATCAGTTAATCCACGTAGCGCAACGATTATATTTGACATCAGATAGAACCAATATTATTCTGGCGTGTAAGAAAACGCTAGACTCTTGAATTCTATCTACTAATAGTAGATAAGATTAAATAAAATTTGATCTAACATTCGAACTTTTTAAAATTATCATGAATTTCATTACTTTTGGTCTGGCAAGACTTTTATTTTGCGAAAGGGCACCTCATATTAATAAATAAATAGAGATTTATTTAGGAAATAAAACAATATTCCACGAGATATATTTCTTTTTTTACCAATGCAATTGTATGCCAGAAAACGCAACATGATATTATTGAAGGTTAATTTTGCCATTTTGAGTCACTTCAACACTTCAAATAGTGTCTTTTAATTTTGTTAATAAACCGACTGCAAATAATCTTAAATATATATCAGTAAAGATTTACAATAATGTGATTCAGATCATGAAAAGAGGTATTTAAATGATCTTATATTTCTTTATAAATTATAATCCATTAAAACATAATGCTTACACTTTAGTCTCAAAGATAATTCAGTATATGTATATGAAGCTGCGTTTAGTTAGTTTAAAAGAAGATTAAAATGATGCAAATGAAATAACAAAATTTCTTCCTAACAATATATCAGACATAGTAATTTGTAAGTAAGCAAGCCACTATTCCTTAGTAACCTTACAAAACAAACTTTGGTTGATCAACCACTGTGTTTAAAACCATTGCATTTTTGGAATGATTATCACTTAAATACTTAAAACTTCTTTGAAAGAAACGTTGAGTTGTTACTAAAATTTGTCAGAAAAATCCTTGCACGAAGAGAAGAAAAAAATCAATTAAAGTTAAGCTACTTAATAATACCTACTTAATAAGCTATTTAATTGTTATTTGTTAGTTAGTTTTTGAACATTTTATTCATAAAAATCAGCAGGAATATAATTTGGAATAAGAGGGAGAAAAATGGATGGCAGTAGAATTCGGTAATATAATTTTATTCACTATTGATAACAAAATAAATATTGCGTGAAATGATATTATGAAGCTATTGTTCTGTATTTTACTGTTTCACAACAATACAAAAAATAAGTATAATTCTATAGCCGAATTATTCTACTACCATTCAAATCTTCCTCTTACATATTCAAAAAAAAAAAAAAAAAATANACAATATTAAAACCAATTATGCACCATTTAGCATCAGAATTGAATTTTTTGAGCAAATTAAAATGTTTTGCAGATTTTTTATAGATTTGAAATATTGTATGAGTAGGAATAAAATTGTTAGAAATATTTTTTTCTGATTAATTATGAAAGAGAAATGATTACTTTTTTGAGGAAGTCTTTTTCACTCGTCGAACCTATGGATGTGACAAAAATGACGTGACTGAGACTGGAGAGACACCCACACAGGAGACACCAGAGGAGGGAGAGGGGAAGCATGGAGTAGGTGACAAACACCACGAATAGAATCCTCCATGGACCCATCAGTTCCATGGTGCCTTCTCTCAAAGACACACACCCTGACACAACGTTCACGTCCAGGCTGGCTGTAAGAAAAAATACTTAATTACTGCAAACAAAGATATTTAGGTCTCACATAAAGTTATAGCTATTAGTATAAATATACTATCATCGAAATACTAAAATACGAAATTATATAAACTTTCGAGAGATGGAGCCACAGTTATCCCATGAGAAGACGGTATATATTTCTACTGCAAATAAAGATTAGGTCGAGGTACCTAGCCCGGGGGGGGGGACTATCTGCCTCTTCATCTACATCGAAAATAATTTAAAGGGTAGGAAGGGGGGAGCATTGATAGCAAATAGTTAGGTCTGAATTGAGTGAAACATTTTTTATTTTGCTGAAAAACGAAGTCTGGGATATATGTAAGTAAATTGAAATAAGGTAAGAAGCGATATAAATATGAACAAAATATGTTTTATATAAATATTTTCTACGTACTACGTGATATATCCTCGTTATTCTTTTAAAATAATATAAAAATTAGTACCTAAATTTTCTGATGCTTCATTTCTGTTGTTGAAGGAACACGATAATTGTGCTCACTTAATATTCTACAAATAACAAAAATTTTTGAAAACATTTGCAGAAATGCCACTTCTGTTAGCGTCATGAGAAGACTGATCTATGAATAATATTTAGAGTCTATAAAAATGATCTTAACTAATATAATTATGTGTAAAAACAAATTTACCAATTATGAATGATAAAGCTATTTTAAGTAAATAAATAATTATACTTTTTTATTTAAGTTTGCATTTAATTTTATATCATAAAAATTAGTTAGCTTTAAAAGATGAGGAGAGGTTTGTTTGTTTGAGATGCTTTTTCTTTTTTTATCTTAACGTTTTTTTCTAATTTAACTTTCAACTTTAAAATTAAATCATTGATGGCATCGTCTTTAGTGCACTATAATTGTACCATGAGGTTGTATCTCAGAAAGAGCTCTTTAAATTTGAGTCTCACACAAATATTTTGACTGGATTTAAATTTACTTATTTTTTGTTAAATATTTTGATTTGTTATTTTTTCGTGATTCCTTATTTGATCTTTTCCGCACATTTGATACAGATGTTTGTCCGGTTGCTGGGAAAGGTTTTAATTGTCTCTCCTAAAGGTTTCCCTCAACACAAAGTCTGTGGAAAAAATTCCCTGCCTCCAAAAAGTAGTCGCAAATAGAGGTGGTCGCTACATCGAGGAGGTTTCACTGTACTTGTTGTAAAGATAACATGTTACCTCTAAAGATCTGATATTTTTAATACTAAAAGTCTGGCGGAGTCAAACCAGGGCCAGATGACCATTGAATCGAAGAAAGTCTATGACGTAGGAGGTTTGAATAAATTTCTTCCATAGTGAGGTCCAAACATTCCAGAGTGTATTTAGAAGAAACCGCATAATCGGAGCATTTTATGCAGGTGGCGTAGATTTTCACGCGATCCTTGAGAGTCTTAATGTGATCACTAGCTAGCCATAAGAGAGCAGTCCAAGTGTTTCAGTTACAAACAATATAAATTAAGAGTTCAACCCTTTCTTTTGCATAAATATCACTTTTGGACTTGGGGAACCCATCTCTCAGTCCTACGTTGCATTTTTTTCTCCACAGACCTACCACGCTTGAAATTATTTTATTTGAAATCACCTGCTGTTTGGAAAAAATTCTGCTCGTGGTAGCTAAATTTAATGTATTATTCTTTGTTTCTTAAATTTGATTTAAAGTTATTTTTCCACACCACTCTATGTAAATAATTCAAAAGTTTATATAGATTTCTCATTGCGAGAATTTAAAAAGTTGGTAGAATTACCAAAAGTTTGAAAGCATTAGTTTTTAACTGTGTACCCTTTTATTAAATGTTTGTTCCAAAAAAAGTAGCGTATGTGTTATAACATTTTTGTTTCTAACAGAAACTTATAGCTCCACTACCAAAAAGTGTATTTTCACACTCTTTGCTCTTATTGGGTTAAATAAACATTTATTTTGTTGAATATGACGACAGTAGTTAATAAAACATTCTGAAAAATCCTATTTATTTGATTTCGGATTGGGGATTTATTGGGCAATTTAGCATACTTTTTTACAACTATTTGAAAGAATACCTTAAATTATATCAATGATTTTACATCAAAGGAAACCAAAGACTGTTTCTTCCTTTTTTTAGAATTTAAAAATGAAGAATTCCTAAAAATCTTCCTTGAAATCCCGCAAAGTTCTAATATAGTTTGGTTCACTTATTTTCGCGAGTTCTTCGTTTTTCATTTCTTTTTTTTAATTTTAAATACAGTCTTTTCATTAAATTCTACTTCAGAAGTTTCTTTTTAAGAAGGAAGAACACTTGATTTTACTTTAACGTTTTGTTTACTTGCAAACAACAAACAAATTTCTAGTTTACTTTTCATTCCCCTTGTTTCCTTATTTCGTTCCATATTTCTTGAATTTTTCTTCGTTTTCTTCTTTTCTATTGTTTCAACCCTCCATATTCTATTCTGTTCCCTTTTCCATAAGTAAGTAAATATTTCATTTTATTTTTTTAAATTTCTCTTTAGTACAAAAAATTACCTGGAATCAAATATAAAAATAGAAGGGAATTTACATTTCATTTGGTAAAAAAGAAAAAAATAAGGTTTCTTTATTAATAAAAAGAGTTCGGAAACTACAACTATAACTTCAGGTTGGTCTGCCAAGTACTACGCATTTTGAAAAATATTTTATAGAAGTGGTAGAAAGTTAAAAATTAAAGCTTTCATAATTTTTGTTAATTTTGCCACACATTTAAAGTGTCATCTCGATAGAACAAAGCCGAGTTTTATGGGAACTTTTGAATTATTAACATGCAGTGGCGTAGAAAATAACTCTAAATCAAATTTGCAGAACAAAAAATCAATTTTAAAACATAAACTTAGCTGCCAGAAGAAATTTTTCCCAAAAGCTTAGAAAGTAGGCATCCCTAAGTTTCGAAAACAATAGAAAAGAGTTGCCATGTCAGTTAACTACAACGTACAGTTACTAGAAAAGAAAGTCGATATCTTAGTTAACTACATTATGTATTGTAGTTCACTAAATGAAGAGTTGCTACGTAATTTAACTTCAATAAAAATTGTAATAATTAAAAACGAACATTTACTATGTTTATTAATTCAAAAACGAAACAATAAGTCCCAATTCTAAATATTCATGAAGATCCATCAAAGTTTTGTTGCTTAGAAGCAACTCCAGAAGTATGTAGCTGCCTACATCTGCACTTTTTAAGAAAGTCTATTTAGTGGTAAAGAAATAACAATAGGATACCTACAAGTGACGTAGTGTGGGCATCTCGATCTTGATTGGTTGTTGAAACGTAGCATCTGTTTATGCTAGCGACTGTCCTTTTTATTCTATTTCGAGTAAGCCAATCTTGTCGAGTACCAATTCTCTTAAGTGACACAGCCAATATATTTTCACAGAGATTCTTCCGCAGAGGATTTAATTCTTTCACTATATATTTACAGAAAGACTTAACACAAAACCAGGCAAAAAGTCATGTGGAACATTAACGAACTAACGATGCATTGAAGTTGCCAGGTACACAAAACAAAAATATATCATGGTTGTCATAAAATACATAAACAAATAATTAATCTATGTTAAGCAAAAGAAGCAGACGAGAAAGAATTATGTTTCAACAAATTCGATGTGCGATACGGTTATGTATTTAATTAACACTTAATGTTAATTAACATTCTATGCCATGTAAAAAAACTCAGCTCAACTTACCCCATTTAACTGATAAATATTTGCTGGCGCTGATATCATAGGTCACATGAGTGGGTGTGGTTTGTCTTCTTCTTGGAGTGCATGAGCTCAATTGCTTTGATAATTGTATGCATAGATGCCAACTTCTCTCAAAAGATAATTAAAATGGCTGTAAATTTTACGATCAATGATTTGATTTGAATGAATGAAAAATGGTTCAAAATGATAAACCACGTCATATAAACAAATTAAGCACATATATAAGGCCTGGAAGTTAGTTTGCTGTTATAATTCATTTAGTCTCACTAGAGCAGCACAATGGGCTATTGGCGACAGTCTGGAAACATCCCCGAGGATGATCGGAAGACATGCCATCACAATTTTGATCCTCCGCAGAGGGGGTGGCATTCCCGCTTCGGTAGCCTGACGACCTGCACGCGAAGTCGAGCACTTTACGGTAGAACAGCTTAATGAGGACCCATAACGCACACCCTCGGTCCCTACGCAGGCTGATCCGAGTGGTCACCCAACTGCAAACTCACCGCAACCAGTGATGCTTGACTTCGGTGATCTGCTGGGAATAGTGTCTTAATGATCAGTTCACTGCAGATTAAAGTCGGTTTGTAAAAATAAGTGGTGGCAAAATGAAACAAATTTTGCTAACAATAACTATTTATTTATTGGCAGTTTAAATATTTTGTTCAGTAGGTTGGCATCTATGATTGTCAATAAAATTTATTTATTATCTTTCCAGCCTCAGAAAATTAAATCAAATGAATATTTTCTGTGTAACTTACAAATGAACCTGTTGGGAGCGAGCACTCTCTGTTCTACTGTGTCGTTCTAAGGGGTTATCTTTATTGACTTCAAAATGTTATCGGAGGTACATGATTTTTCCCAAACGATTTCAGATTTTAATTTCAGTTAGTATAATTTTCTTGATACAGAAATGTCACTTGTGTTATCGTCATAAAAACCATATGAATAAAATTTAACGTCAACAAAAATGATCCAATAGCGGTAAATCATTGATAGTCTTCAATGCACTCTGACTGCAGCATCTGAGGTTGTTATCGTCAAAAAGAACTCTCTCTAAATAAGAGTCTCACACAAACATTTTGAATACATTTTAATTGACTTATTATTGCTAATATTTGTTCTTTTGATATTTTTATGTATTTTCTCACTTAACCTTTTCAGCATTTGGTGGAAAGGAATGCCCGGTCGCTTGGTGAGGTTTTGATGATCTCTCCTAAAGGTTTTCTTCAACATAAAGTCTTAAATAGAGGAGGTCG